GGAACAGAGAAAGCTTTGCTGCTATTTGGTCATGTTCCAAATATGCAATTGAATTGTAGCTAAAGAATTTGGAAAATGTGGGGAAATTATCTTCTAAAAATTCTTTGACGGCATAACCTTGATGACATCTTGATTTCATCTCAGAAAAACACATTGTGAACTTCTGACCTATAAAACAATGAGAGAATAAATGCATGTCATTAAAAGTCATGGAGTTTGTAGTAATTTGTTACAATAACTGTAAGATCAAATAGGATCTTTTGAAGAGAATTTCTCTATTTTGATAAAGTCTAATTTATGACTTTTTAACAAATGTGCTTTTGAGATTATTTATAAGAAATCTTTATCAATGATGTCACAAAGATTTCTCCTCTGTTTTCATGCATGATTTTTGACTTTGCATATGATAAAATGTAGATCAAGTATTTTTTTTTGTCCCCTCAAATGAATACACAAATGTTTTGGCATAAAAATTATTTTTTCTCCATTGACTTGATTTTTGAGTTGTTGTGCATTAGAATAATCTCCCTCCTTCTTTCCTTTACAACAGTTATGGAGTTTGATTCTTTTGTTTGATTTTTCAGGCTTTACTATAGGCAAATGCTCTACTGGACAGACCCCACTGAGAAATTCTACTCTGCCTACACCACTGCTGGTGCATTATCAGTGCATTTTAGTCTCTGAAGGGATTCTCGTCAAGAATACATGCTCTTCTGTCAGGAGATACTCTTCTAATTTTTACATTCCTAGCGCCAGTACTTTGATTCCTAGATATGTGTATTTATGACTTTGGACTGATGTCTTTCTCAAGCACCTATACAGAATCATCTTTATTGGGTGAAGCAGTTGAAATACTGTAGATGCTTTCTACACTCTGAGTATGTTCTCACTTGGTTTCTGCTCCTACTTTTCCCTCATGCTCTCCTCTACTCTGGATTCCATGAAAATGACTGATTTTTCTTTTTTTTCTGGTTTTTTTTTTTTTTTTTTTTGTGTTCAAACTTGGGACCTTGAAAATACAGGGCAGGAAGCGGAGGCGTAAGCTAGTCTTAACACGATCGAACTCAGGACCTTGCTCTTGAGAGGCAGGCGTGGTGCCACTAAGGTAAATCCCTGGCCCTCTGGCTTTTTTTTTCCTTAAAAATTTTTTT